ATTTTCAATTTTTACAATTACTGCATTCAACTTCAAGTTATTTTAAAAGTACTCGATGAACTTTCGTCATTTTAAGGTTTAGGAGGTTCCGACTGGTTTCGTTGGATAGAGCATGAAAAAATAGGAGGTTTGCCTCGCGGAAGTTTTTTGATAGCTGGTTTAGCTTCGGAATTATGGAAATAGTATTGTTTTTGTTTGTGGATAACTGGTCACGTGTGAGATTTGAGAATTGGAAAAATTTTTTGGTTGAAATTTTTTTAGTGATTTTATGTGTTTTGACGGTTCTTGATGCATCTGGTTATGGTGTCTTTTTTGGGTGTGGACGGTTTTGTTTGTGCACGTGACTGTTGGTTTTTTGGTTAGCCTTGGTTGTTTTGAGCATTGATGGGTCTTTTGATTTTCTTAACTGCTGTTTGTGTGCGATTTTGTTTTAGTGTTTTCTGCGTAGATGTTTGGTATGTGAGGGCGACTAGGTGGTATAATCGGAGTTACCTGCCCGGGTTGTTTTTTTTCTTTTTCTGACGGGTTTTCGGAGTTTTTGATGAAATGCTTTCGGGCGTTTGTTTTAGTTATGGTTTGTTTGCGACCTCTTTGGTGTTCTTGATAGGTGTTGCACCTCGGCTTTATGTGGTCATAGGTGTTGAGTGCATAGTGCTGCGAATGTTTGCCGGCTACAACAGATGGTGTATGGGGCGTTCTGATTGTATGGGTTTTTCTTTGACGTCAGTTGCTTTGGCTGTGATGTATGGAATGGGACCAGGAATGTTAGTTTGATGTGTTCTTGTTCTGCATATCCAAGGAGGTGAATGACTTTTGATATTTCAGATGATTGGTAGTAATAATGCTGGTATCAGTTGTGTTTTTTCGGAACTGTTCTATGGATTTAGAAAGTATGTAAGATAAATATTGGAAATGTTATGGTTGGGAAGCTTTCGCGGTGGTAATGTAGAAGTTCAGCGTAGAATGCCTTCAGGGTTATCAGATGGAATTGAGTGAGGTCCCAATTAGATGTTACTTATATGTGGTAATAGATATTTCGCGTGAAATGACGATTTCTAGAGAGCAAATAGCTTCGATCTGCACAAGATCTATTCATTTTCGTGCTCTGTTGTATTTACAGATGAGAATGTGACGTATATAAAAGGTTAACATTTTGCTGTTTTGTAACGGCTCGGTTCATACTCCATGGGATACTGATATTGATAGAGGCAAGCTTGTACAGTTGTTTATTGGTTATCAGAATGAATGGAAGGTACTAAGGTGGTATTAACCGAGAAAACTGTTCGCTATTTACTTTGAGTGTCGGACGTGATGAATATTGGCTTGTACATTTCATGTTTGTCCTTTGTCCAACGTATTCATCTATTGCTGCTAGTGTGAAGCAAGAATAATATGTTTTTTTCAGTGTTAATAGGTTAAGTGATTTAAGACTTGCATGTAATTATGAAATTCTAAACATGCCTGATGAGGACTCTTACGCAAGGTCAAAACGCGTCGTGTGATGCTTTGAATTTCAATTCTTTATTATATAAAATTATAGATCGTGTCAACTGACACTGAGGCCATTTGATAATGATGGAGTTAGAAGCATTCGAAATAATCTTTGCAATAGGTGATCGTGGTAACTTATACACACCCACACCCACCCTCCATTTAAATTTGGTACTAATCTTTGTTGTGCACCGAGCATTAGCACTAAAAATGATTGTGTCCAGATGACTGTACAGAAATTAAGCCCGGGCAAATAAAACGATTTATTAAAATAGAACTGATTGTCTTCTAATCGCACTCTGTCATTAAATATCCATTGATCTCTTTCAATATTTTACATGAAACACAATAAAAACTGTCAATTTTATGTATCGATTATTGATTATGGAAGAGTTTTTTGCATTATACGAATAATATACATATCTAAAACTCTAGAGTATTATGTATCCGATGATATGAGCTTCAGCATATTGAGCTGAATTCGCAGTACCACGTTTTGAAGTAATTAGGAGTCGATAACTTTCAAAAGCAATTGTATTCGAGAAATTTTGTTGAGACACGTATGTTTGACGCCCAGGATCAGTTGATGAACTGATGCCGGTTGAACCACTATAAATCAATGTCCAACTTGATCCCAAATCGAGAGCTGTTGTACCTGTCGCATTTGTTCCTTCAAGAGTTACTGTTATTGGATCTCGACTAGGAGAATCTGCTGCAGTTGCAAAAAGAAGACCAATTGCAACAGATGCATTACTTATCGTAGGTGTCACATAAAACCCAGTATTTATCCCACCCGCACTTGAACCAGAACAACTGGGTGATGAATCTCCACCATTTAGATATTTGGTACTTAATGAACCATCAATAGCATTTGCTGGGTTTTCATTGCTTGGATAACTGAAATTGACTGCACCGGTAGATCCACCTGCTATGGTATTGCAAATGCCAACAATTGAATCACCTGGTTGTGTGATATTCACGAGCAAACGTGCAGTAGTCGTGGTAACTTTGAATATATATGAATAAAAAAAAAAAAAAACAATATAAATATATATATATACGATAGTCCTTTCGTGTCGAAGGCTTTCGGAGAAAATTTCATTCTCAAAATTTGTATTTCTTTGAATATAATTATAGATCAGAAGTATTTCATAGAATTTTGGTTGGCAGATGTATCGGATTTTTTTTTAGAATAACAAAAGCAAAACAGATACACAAAGTCCGAAATTCATCGAAGTAGTGCAGGAATCCATTTCCCAACTTTTTACTTTCTATTTATATGAGTATAGATAGTAGGATTTCCTTAACGCTTTTCTCTCTGCTATTTGACATATATGAGAAGAAATGAATCTAGCACCATGTGTAGGTTATTTGGAACCTAGCGTATTGTGTATAGAATAGAGCATGAAATTGTTATTATCGACACATTTAGAAAGACAAGCCAGATGAAAAAGAAATTGTCATTCAATTTGCTTTAAGATATTTTTCTCTAACTAAATTTAGAAACTGTAAATTTACAAACTTCATCACTCGCAGTTTAAGAAATATAATAGTCTATTATCAATATTTGTTATAGACATGTAATGATACTATTATTATTATTAACACCATCCTCTGCTGGTATCCCCAGCAGAAAATGATAAGATATATCTTTGTATTATTTGTCTAAAGCGATCTTACAAATCCTCATCGAACACGCACTGATATCCCACATGTAATAGCCGTAGGAATAGAAATTCTTACAGGAGCAACTGCCGATTAAAGGCAGATGTAATGGGAGCATCATCTGAAAGAGTAAAAATCACAATTTCCTAGCTGTTTGATTCCATCTTGAATTTATACAACTAATAGAATCAGTTTTCAAAACCAATAAGAACTAAAATGTAAAGTTCCTTAACTCTATTCAAAGTACGATGAATGTGTTTATCAATGATAAGTAAAAAATAGTAAATACTTATGATAGAGTATTTTGAAAATAACAGTTCGTAGATGAACTACTTTCATACAAATAAATTACAATCCATTCTGCCTACAAGTGCAAAACTGTTGCTACACACAATACACAGAACACAGATAATTCTATATACTGAAAACTGTAGAATTTTTGACCGTTACATAGACAAGAGAGAAGATTCTCGTTCATGAAATGTATATATCAATAGAAGTATCGATGGACATGCTGGATGCCACGATATTATTGATTTTCAATGATAATTGTAAGACTAGGGAGAGCTATGAGAAAACTTTTGAAAACCTTGAGGTCAACTAGACCACTACAACAAAAATAATGAATGAAAAGAACTAAGACTTTCCTACTTCCTAAAATTCAAATCATATACTAGAAGAAGAAATTTTACCACATCCTTGAAAAAAAGAAACTCAATTTTGATATTTCATGCAAAAAATGTAATCATTAGAATGGGAACCATATTATTTTCTTTTAGGTTATCAACCATTATCTGTCAAAATTAAAATTACTAGTTTTTGTTGTCTAAAGTTATTCGAAAAGTTCAATTGTCTGATATATTATTATAGAGGTCTTACCGGACGTTGTTGTTGACGTTGTTGTTGACGTTGTTTTTGATGTTGTTGACGTTGTTTTTGATGTTGTTGACGTTGTTGATCTTGTTGACGTTGTTGATGTTGTTGTCGCTGTTGTTAACGTTGTTGATGTCGTTGTCACTGTTGTTGACGTTGTTGTTGATGTTATTGACGTTGTTGTCATTGTTGTTGACGTTGTTGTCGCTGTTGTTGACGTTGTTGATGTTGTTGTCGCTGTTGTTGACGTTGCTGATGTTGTTGTTGCTGTTGTTGACGTTGTTGTAGTCACTATGTAAAAAATATGCAATTTTATTTAAAAAGGTGTCGATTTATGTAAAAAAAAATTGATATTGTATTTTTATTTCTGTCCCATTTAGAAAACAAATTTTTCTATGTTCAATTTTAAGGTAAATTATCACAATTCTGTTACAGAAGCATCACTTTCAAAGTTAAAAACCAAATTTAATCAAGTATTACTCGTTGTGGTGCTAGTTGTATTTGTTTTTATATTAAGCAATACATAAATGACAACTGCCAAAACAAGTAAGATGAACATGGCAATCAATAGTGCAGTAGACATTTTCCATCGTTTTGTCGATATTCTACAATGAAAAACATTTTCCCTTGATGAAAATGAGTGTTGTATATATAGCAAAATTCTATTAAATTAATAACAAATGGTTGAATATCTTGTTTCTTATTCTTTATAAAATATTCTTGCTATAAAAACTGAATACTCATATATTATAATATAAAGTCAAATGATATTCGAGAGTTCTACTTGCTTCAAACTTTCTTTTGGTAATAATTTAGAATCATTATTAGGCATCGACAACATTGCATGCAACGATTGCTTTTCTTGAATTAAATCACTTGGCAATGATACACTAGTAGATGATAGTGTCTTAGGATCATTAGAATTCTTTTTATCAGGTGTTGAATGGATAGTTGGATTAAGTTGTATATCATTAATAGGTTTGACCTAAAAGAAAATATTTTGATTTATTATATGTTCTTATTGAACATTGCACTGTTTCGTCAATAGTCATACCTTTCTTGTTCTTCTAGGTAGAGTTAAAACAGATACACGATCAAATTTGAATTGTTTCATCGCAAGCCGATTGAAAAAAAGTATTCTGATAGAGCAGGAACGGGATGCTGTTGAATTTCTTTATACAATGAACATCAGAAGACAAATAATTTTCTTATTTATGTATGTTACTGAACCCTTCAACATGTCTAATAATAAACTTTTTTCTCACTTCTTTATATAGCAAAAGCCTTAATCTTATGCAAACACTAGAGGCTTCTTGCCTGATACCCTATATATGCGATTTTGATTTAATAACTTCTTTTTCTTACAATGCACAAATATAGATAGAACGAAAATTGAATTAGTGAAGAAAAAAAATTATTTTCTCTTTCATTTCAACAATGTAATGTTATGATGATTAATCTCTCATCCCAAACAAAAATAGATTTCCCGAAGAATGTACATATATGCAAGAGTGCAGATATTGATTTTGTATTAAGATCAAAGAAACGATATTGCTCCAAGACAAACTGAAAGTAGATGTATAAGGGAAATAGATAAAATTCTGATGAAATTACTAATTTGAGTAATGAATACAATTCCTAACTAGGTGTAGGTGCGATATGTATCTGTGTGAGTGCATGTGAGTGTTATCGATATAGATATTATCTGTAATCAAGTCTACAACCACCCACACCCTATATTCTCATCCATAGCCACACCCACACCCATCGTACATTCGCTATTTTACTTAAGAGTAGATTAGAACTGACTGCTCTGATTTTCATAGGAAACTTTCTTTAAAGCATTTTTAATAGAAATTGACACGCTAAGCCACCTCATGAGGCTCTCATGCACAATCAACAGCTGTTGTGTTAGCATCTATGTGCCCTGTCAATTGGAGATTTATCTGGTACAGTTTGTAAAACTAAACCCCTCCCCGCATTAGAAGACCCCGGGTCTTCTATTATGTCTCGTCGTAAAAATTTCTCAGGGGGGTCTTCTATTATGTCCTAGGCTTTTTAGCAATTATTAACTAAATGTGGTTTTCCAGAAAGCCAGAGCGCTTTTCAGGATTCTCACAGGGATTTTCGCGGTTTTAAGGGTTGAGGGATACATTTGGACCTACTTTCTAAATATTCCCAGCTGAAAAACCTAAAAACTGTGCACTTCTGGGCGGAAATTCTCTAATTAAAGTCCCTAATTAGCAAAAAATTAATTAATTAAAGGGGGGGTCTTCTAATACGCCCGATGAAATTTTTGTCCAGGGGGGTCTTCTATTATGGGGGGGTCTACTAATATGGGGGGGTCTTCTAATGCGGGGAGGGGTTTACCATTCAACTCTAATGTAGACTAGCATAATTTTTCTCGAGTCGATTCGTTTTCGAAGTTTTTGTTTGAAATTTCTAATTCACTTGGAGATGCTAAGCCACATGTTGAAACTGTCTGCATAGCAGTCAATACGTATCTTGGTAGCTTCTGACACACACAGATCCATGTCCGACTGAATGGAACCTTCAGGATTGGTATACTTATAAATTGAAGATATATCTGTCGCGACTCTTAACAATGAAGAAGCGAATTGTATGATGCTTTTAAAAAAAAATATTTCTTTATACAAAGTTACATAGTAACTTTGTATAAAGGAAAATCTAACGATTTATTTCTCCAAATTATACCATACTGCTGCTATCTGATGAGTCCCTTAAGCAAGGACGAAACGTCGTGTGATGCTCTCAATCTAAAAATTTCTTAATAATGAGGCATCTGTCTGGATTCAATGAGAAAACTAAAAAGTATTTGCTCACTAGTTGCAACTCTGTGCAATATAAAAGACATACAAATACGATGAAAAACAAGGAGCTATTGCCATGAAAGAATGAAAAAATAGAAACATGAGTAGCAAATTGTGCGGGCTATGTTTGTCATGAAGTTGAAGCAGAAGGAGAAAAACTGCTTCATTCGCTGAAGGCAGCGCAAACTATGTGTGCACCACTTTCCTTGAATTATGAGATCAAAAGGCAAACAAAAAGTATGGAACCATAAACCGGATCGCTGCTGTGAAGGAATGAAAAAACAAAAAACATGAATAGCGAATTTTTCATGATTATGTTTTTCATGAATCTGTCATGAGCAGAAGCAATGAATATGATTCCGCGAAAGAATTATTAATTATTTGTCTGTCGATTGTCAAGGGCTTCGAGAACAATATACTGTGGGATAGAATAGAAGCAAATGCTTCCTATACTGCAAAAAAAACAGAAAAAGAAATATGAAGAGTTAATTATTTATGGTCATTTTTTTATGAGTCTGTAAGGAACAGAAGCAACTATTATGATTCAGTGAAAAAAATATAAATGATTCGCCTG